TATAAACTTAAACTCTTCCTTCCCACGATTTATTATCTTATCCTGAAAACCTATCTAACAGCGGCTTCAGAGTGGGGTGCAGCAACGAGTTCTCGGAAGTCAAAAGTCCCCACAAGGGAGCATTCTTGGTCCCGTTCTTTATACCAAATGTACTGCTTACCTATGCACCCCAATATCATCATCGCCACAAGGAGTACAAGACTGAATGAAGAAAAATGTACTCGGTGTAGGTTCACATTTGAAAAACAGTCTTGATCTCCACTCACAACGAAGTGATACCGATTTTGACGCAAGTCTGACGTGGAATCCCCACATTTGACTTAAGAGACGACAACTTAAAGTAAGACTTGGACAACTACGAAGACTTCTAGGATTGAAATCTGTCTTGACCGTCAAAACTATACTAACCTTATACAAGATTTTACTGCGACCACTTTGCACAGTGGAAATGTTGGGTTCTGCCAGGCAACAGCACAAAATTGTCAAAGCGCTTTAGTACGTCACTAACCTTACTATCCACAACGAGTTGATCCGTTCCCGATTCCTAACGTTTCAAACCAACCTCTCAATCCATCCTTAGCCCTTGCCATACGGCTCGAGCCCTGTCTATTCATTCCTATCCCGAGAACCCACTGCATCGCCTTAATCGACGATGACCTCGAGACATCCTTAATCCACCACACTGAGTGCCAGCATCGGCTGGTTTCTCATGGCATGTGTTCTCCGGGTGCAGCGCTGAGTTTTGTGATCACATTGGTAATATGTATTTACTTACAATGTATAGGATACAAATAAAACAATAAAAACTTGTAATCTTTTAACTAATATCGGTTGATTATTTGTAAACATTGGATTCCGATTGGACAAGACACCAATGAAAGCAGATGTTCCTTAGAAACTAAGTAACGTCGACAGATTTGTTTCACAGTGGATAATTGAGAAAATAAAAACCGCAATAATGAAATTAACTATTTCTAGATCTTAATTCCGTTTCGAAACTGCTGTTGAGTCTGCTCGTCGCGGTTAACGTAATTATGCAACTTTCCTTGGTCCAGTGACGTTCCTCTTTCTCGTTACTACTGATGCAGTTGTGATTTTTGTCTGATAAAATTGTCTAGTTAGTTATACGACAAAAATAGAGCAGTAGAAAAATATTTATGTTTGAGTAAAGTATCTCGCCCGTTAAATTGCCCTACTACGACTACAATATAAACTGCTCAAAAAAATAAATAGGGATATTTTTAATTTATTCTTATTCTACCAATTTTAAATAAATTTACCTACATATTCTTGTACGTTAGATAAAATAAAATAGAAAATACAAATAAAAAACAAACAATTTTTAATCCTAATTTTTAATAACGGATTTATTTAACAATAGTAAACATAAAGATTACTCATTTTGTAAATAAACATCTTTTCCCGTCTTTTCTCCGCTTTAATCCAGTTGTACTCTCTTTAACCATGGAAAGATATCATCTTGAACCAGAAGTTCGCATTATAATTTGAGAATGAGTCATCGAGGTCACTGGCAAGTGGATGTCGCAGATGCGGTTGGCGTCTCTCAGAGCGTGTCTCCCGGACTTTAGCCCGATTCCGAGAGACTGGAAGTGCCAGTAGGAGGCCTGGTAGTGGATCTCAGCGCATTAAGAGCTAATGGAGGACATGGACGCTAATACTAAGGAAGGACAGAAATATTGTCATTGCTGCAAGACGGAAGGAACCCTTTCCATAGTGCCTGCTAGATCCTAAATGAAGTACAAGGTGTTCGGCAAGGCCTTTATCAAATAGATCTCACATCGTATGCCCGCCACCAGCAGTTCAGGAGGATATGGTGCCTAGAAGAGAACACCAATTGGAGTGCTGTTATGTTTACTGATGAGTGGCGTTTCTGTCTGTATAGTGTAGCAAGCGCCGAAGATCTACCGAGAACAGGGGATGAATACAATGCCTGAGTTCGTGCTCCCTTCAGTGCAGTTTGGAGTAGGCGGGTAACGGTGTCTGGGCTGGGATTTACACTGGAGGACGAACTGGACTCCATATTGTTGAAGGCCACCTCACCGCAGTCTGTTATGTCCAAGAAATTATCGAGGATGTCAATGCCAGACCTGAAAGAGGCACAGTTGTTCATCTATGTTTAGAAAACCTAGAAATGTCCCATCTGCCCCTTCCCCCATTGTCACCAGATCCATTGAGCACATGTAGGATGCGTTGGTGAGAAGGCTTTTCGGTCATCATCCGCAGCCAGTTGTCCTGCAACAACTGACTGCGCCGTTGCAACATCTGTGGAGTGAAATTCCTTATGAAATTAGTGACAACCTTATCAGTATGCCTAACAGGTACACAGAGGATTTAGCTGACAGAGGACATTACACACGGTATTAATTGTTAAAAAAAAGATTGTGTCCAATAAACACAATTATGTAATTAAAACCTTTTATTATGTTATTTTTAAAAATCCCTTAATTAAATTTTCCTTCAGTAAAAACATAATAACTTCCAATTAATTTTAATGCAATTTATAATAAAAATAAAATAATAATGCTAGGGCAAGTAAATACTACAAAATTGGCAATATCCCTATACATTTTTGAATAGTTTATAAACATTTTGAACAGGTCTGAAAATAAAGAAAGCATCTTATTTTTATTTACCAATCTGTGCACAAATTAAACATTGTTTTAAGAATCAGACAGTACTGATTATTTAACAATATAATCAAATTAGTCAGGCTGAACATGGACAAGACCAGCAGACCAGAAAAATAAAACTACGGCTCGCACTTCATCTTCCAGTTTCGTTCTTTTGACATTAAATTTCAATTGCCAGATTTTCCTGTGTGTTTCAAGAATGTTTTTATTTAATTATCATCTTTAATGTGTACTCAGCTTGCAATGGTAATTTCTATAAAATATTTTTTAAAAATTATTATATTACAACAGCACTAGAGCACTACAAACAACTTTGTTGTCTTTATGTTGATAGTAAAGTTTAATACGTAGTAGGTAGCTTGGGCAATGGTTCGAAGGATTTTAGACTGGAGTAACTTGTTTCTTTGGAGGAAGGAACGCTTGGTTGAACCCCTAAGTTCGATTATTATTGAGGGAATTAACTTTGTTTTGCAGTGAGCGTTTTGGTCTGTTGTCAAGTAGTCAAGTCTATTCTTTTGTGTTGAGTGTGGTGGTTCCACATAAGTCGATGTAAAGTCCCAAATAGTAGATGAAATAGGTTGCTGAGAGGGGGACAGAGAGGAGAGGTGATATTGCGATAGAAGTTTATTTGCTGGAATTTCGTTGAATCTGACTCTCCATTTTTTCAACCTATCTTCTAAACTGGAGAAATGGTTGGTCCTGAAGGTTTCTGAAGACCACTGGGTTTGGGTTTGCTGAAGGTGGTATCGTCTGTATATATGAGAAGTACTGTATTAATATGCAGGGTATATTGAAATGAGAACGAGACCAAGGATGCTGCCTTGTAGAACGCCCACTACTTCATGATGAATGGAGGAGAAGGATGTTCCAATTCGTATTTAAAAGGAGCTATCGGACAGATAGGATTTTCTGATGATGAAATAAGTGAATGGAAAGATGCCACGATTTTCTAGAGCAAGCCCGAGCACCACACTGCCTAAGAAACCACCTGAGCTGCATTCCTTCTGCTCAAGGGACGATCCGATGATCGCTATCATGATGTAGCATTATTGAATGGTAGTGACGACGCCTGAACCTAAAATAATTGTGATGGAATGACAGAGGTGTCAAAGATGTGCTATAAGTACTTCAGGAAGAGGTTTTCAAGGATTTTGCCAAGTAATGGCAGCGTACTGTCGGCCTATATGACGTAGGGAGATATTGAGGTTTGGGAATAGGTTCTATGATTGATAATTTCTTTTGGATTGAGAAGACAACGAAAAAAAGAACTTTTTTAGTAAGATTTTGGAGGATATTTGTGGTGATAAAGTCAAAACCTTTTATTTTAATTGGGAGGTGAAGTATGATGAATTTGACCTATGATGGATCAAAGGGTTGCCTCACGTCTAGGAAACCGCTCAAGGAAGGCTGCGATTATCTCTATCACCCTGTGGTACTGTTGAATGGTACAGTGATGTCGCCTGAACCTAAATTGATTTGGTGAAATGACATTAGAGCATTGAAAAATCAGCCGTAGACGTTTCAGGACGAGTTTTTCAAGAATTTTGCCAAGAAATGGCAGCGTTTCTGACGTTTGGGATTGATAATTTCTTTTGAATAGGGAAGAAAGTTTCAAAAAATATGAAATAAATTAGTTAATAATATTCATAAAACATTTTCTTATGATTTTTTTATAGTAATCAACTAAAACAAATTTAAGCATATTAGTTAAAGCAGTCAACGATAACATAAAACTGAAATGACAATGTTTATTGTTTGAATAGAAGAAGTATGCTTGCTTACTCAGCAGATCAGTATAAACTATCGAGAGGGAACTTTGAGACTATACTTTATAGCAGCAATTTGATATCTAGATAATATTACATCAGCTAAAAAGGAGGAGTAAGTCCTCTCTGTCCCCCTCTCAGCAACCTATTTCATCTACTATTTGGGGCTTTACATCGACTTATGTGGAACCACCACACTCAACACAAAAGAATAGACTTGACTACTTGACAACAGACCAAAACGCTCACTGCAAAACAAAGTTAAGTAAGTCCNTCCTGCATATGTTCGCCAAAGTATAACTCCTCTTAGCCAAGGACCCGGCCGCATAACGGGGTAAGCTGCTCTTTCCAAGTTCGGATGGCAGCACTCCCAGCTCGCAGCAAAGGCTGACCAAAGGACAAGCCCTGAACGCGCTTCAGACCACACGAAGGTCCTGATAATATAGCCTATCGAACTTCGCGACGCGAGGAGTACAACCATAAAACAGTTTCTAGCATAATAGTGCTTCATATACTTTTAGGAGCGTGCTTACTTTTTAAATTACATGTGTAAAAAGAATTGATCCTTTGTTTTCAGGAGAGATAAACACATATCCGATTGGAGTTGCAATTTATTTTAACGTAATACTGTTCTTTTTTGAAAATATTACAGCATTTTAAAATCCAAAAAATCTGTTCGTTATTTATGCAATTCATCTTGAGGAATAAGTGCGTAAGTCCAAAATTTCAATTTTTCAAAATCTCCTTTATCTTATCTTGCAGTTTTGCAAAGTCTTCTTCCACTTCAGGCGATGTCGGCAGGAGAAAGTCGATGTGGCTGAACTGCTCATTCTTTATGTACGTGGACGTCCCTGGATTTGGAAGGTCTTTCATCAAAGCTTCCGCGTCCTGTAAAGTGCAAATGTACAGACAATACACTCGCAATCAAATACAGGAGTAAAATCGCAATTAAAAAGGACGATTTTACTTACAGCGGGATCGACGACTTGATCCGACTCGCAGAAAATGGTATGAACTTCAGTTTTGATGTTTTTGATATCGTAATTTGGAGGGGTTTCGTTTTTATAAACCTTCATATTCTCTTCCACGCCGAAGTCATACGGTTTCACAACACCTAAAAAATAATTAGTCAATCGTGTTCAAAAGATAGCAAAATTCCAAGGTCCAACTGTTCTATATTGTTAAGAAATTCACGTTTAGAAAGCTTGTTATTTGTCTCAAAGATGATGACGGCAAATGGACAGACATTTAGCCTAATAACCCTGCTCTACATTCGAACCCATCTAATAAATCTTCATATCAATGAAACAACTAATAGTTTTGACATATTCCCGCACAGTTGTTATCTGTAGTAACCTGCGTTTTAGACTGTCAAACAACGAACTTATTGTTGTTCGATTCAACGTGAGATTTTTATTTGTAGCTTTCGTCAAAAATTAAAAGTTTGAGCATGGTCTAGCAAAGCCCTTCAGGGAAAAAATACTTTCAGGTAGTTACTCCGCGTGAATATAACTACAGCGCGGATGATGACCATCGTAACAGACTATTTCACCGATGGTTCACTTATTAAAGGCAAGGGAAGCGGTGCTGGAATACATATACCTAAATTAGGGATCAGCATCTCCTCCCTTCTTGGTAATAACACCTCCGTTTTTCAGGCTGAAATATGGGCCATTAATGTTTGCTGCAGCACACTTATGGATAATAAAATCAAGGGAAAATATATTAGAATTTTTTCCGACAGTCAGGCCAGTCTTAGGTCATTATAAAAAGAGTTATCAACATCTAGGCTGGTGGAGGAAACAGTTGAACTTATCAATAGGATCACTTCTAGGTATGAGAATAGGGTAACCCTCATTTGGATACTAGCACATAAAGGACACTATGGCAATGAAGAGGCGGATAGCCTGGCCAAAGAAGGCTCAAATACTGCGTTTGTCGGGCCACAACCGGTATTACCCCACTCTANTAATAGTTTTGACATATTCCCGCACAGTTGTTATCTGTAGTAACCTGCGTTTTAGACTGTCAAACAACCAACTTATTGTTGTTCGATTCAACGTGAGGTTTTTATTTGTAGCAACATGCTTTGGTCAAAAATTAAAAATGTGAGCATGGTCTAGCAAAGGAAACTGAAACGTAATAAAGACCCAAAGAAAAGGGCACAAAATGCCATCTTTGGACGGAATCATTGATGGATAGTTTGAGAAGGAGAAAGAACAAAAGTTGTCGGATGTAAATGATTTAGCTGTAGGAGTTCTTCTGAATTCTTAAAACTTCAAGAAGAAAAATAACACATTTTATGGCAATAATATTCATATAAAAAGTTCATAGATTCATATCCGCTACATAAAAAAGAATTTGACAATCGATGGTAAATCTAAATTTGTTGACAATAGTCGTGTTAAGTATGAGATTGAAATTTGGTATAGATGATTCCAAATTATCCTATGGCTCGTTAGGGACTCCCTCCTATGGCACCTGGTGGACCAATGTTCAGCAAGACCAAGCTATCCAAACATTAGGAAGCGTATAAAAAGACCCTGTGTATCACAGGGGCTATGAAAACACAATTGCACTGGAAAACAGCTAAACCTACCTTCATTGGATCCAGCGAGCAAGGAGAAGTTAAGAAAAGCTAATGAATTCTGGAGGAAATCATATACGATGATATGATATACAGCTGGCTCTAGAAAATCATCAAGGAACAGGATAATTTTCTGTACAAGGCCAAAATATGAGCACTCGAACTCATTAGGGAAGTACACCTCGGTCTTTTCAAGTTGAAATCGATCAAAGCTTGGGCTTTTCAAAATTTTAAAAGAGTTCACTAGTTACGTGGTCCGCTTGACCAATTAATATCTTTCAATTAATTAAGGTTTTTAATCGAGATAAAAAAGTCAGTGTCACGAGCGGGATTCGAACTCACGATCTTCGGCTAGATACGCTGCTGCTCTACCACTTGAGCTATCGTGACCTCGATCCACTCGGACACTAACTTCCCATCTCAACCACACCTTTTGAATTTTCCCTCCTTTTTGTCATTTTTCAAAACCGGACCACGAAACTAGTGAATTTAATAAGTTTAAATGAAGTATACTTTCAGTAAAGCTCTCCGTCGCCATTCCATTTGTCCCCGAGAATCAAATAGAGTACTTATTTGAAAAATTTGAAAAAAAAGAAAATATTATTTGAAAAATGGCAGCAAAGGAGAGCAAATTCAAAAGGTGGGGTTGAGATAGGAAGTTAGTGTCCGAGTGGATCGAAGTCACGATAGCTAAGTGGTAGAGCAGCGGCGTATCTAGCCGAAGTTCGTGGGTTCGAATCCCGCTCGTGACACTGACTTTTTTATCTCAACTAAAAACCTTAATTAATTTTAAAAGAGGTTACACTGACTGACAAAAAATCCTTATAAGCTCAGATAGCCACGCAGTTTTTAAAGCATTAGCATGTAAAAATATAACGTCCAAAATAGTCGGTGAATACATTCAAAATTTCCGAAAATCTGGGAAAACGTAATAACCAGAAAATATCTTAGGTGCCATGGCACAATTGCATTTTGGTTTATAAGCAAGTAGACAAACTGGGGAAAGAAGGATCTGCATGGCCAATTACCAACCAAGGAACGAGGAAAGTACAATAAGCCAGAAGGCTGCTTGGGAACGAAAAACCCCGGCTTCCTAAGTAGATATGGAAGGTCGGTGGGAAATAGCAAAAATTAAGTTTCATGTTTATTTTAACAAATATGTATGTGTATGTGTGTGTATGTATGTGTTATATTCCCCTAGGATACAAATCTGATGTTTTGACAATAATAATCTATAATAATATGAGTGTAACATAGAATTCGCTCACCTTCAGTATAGATTTGCATGAAATGTTTTAAAATATAGATTGACGTTCCTGCTGGTAAGAACTCTCCGACATATTGTTTAGTCATCTATTAACAAAATAAAATAAATAAATAAAATATAGCATTTTAACCGGTGAATACTCCAAAAAAGAACTAATAAATGTTCACGTCATAAAATAAATTTTTCGAAGTGACACTTGGTAAAGGTGAAATTATAAAAAAATTAGCTGAATATCATATCTGGAGTATAGTAGCTCAGGAAGCTTTACTTATCGAAATAGGGAACTGTTAGAGATAACAAAAGAAGCGGTTTCCTGAGATACTGCTTCAGGAGCTTATTCATTTGAAAGAAATAAAGCATAAAATTGATGGAAATAAGGAATATTACAGTTATGTAAAAAAATCAACATATTTTATGACCTTTATAATGATACTATGATGCAGCAGAAATGTAATTAAGATTGTGCAGAAAAATAAATTCGCGTTAACATTTTTTGTCTTTTCATAAGGAAACATCTGAGGCGATTTCATCTAACGAGTTAAATTTCTGAGTAAATTAAAAATTATTGTGGTATGGGAAGAAAATTAAGTATAATATTGCTTCCTGTTGGGGTTTGTAGTGAGAAAAACGTACAGTAGAAGAAAAGTCAATATAAATACTCAATATTCCGCCATCGGCCTTCTTACGTACACATTCACGTTAATAAATTCATTCGGTCTCAATATATACAAAGAATCATAAGACATCTGTAATGCACTATATACACTAAAACAGTCCTGTTTCCTCCAAAAATCGGAACAGTGGACCCAAATACTCTCTGCCGTGCGCAAGCACAATTCTAATATCGGTTGGCATTCCTACACTCTCTCTATATGGAGCTAACGAGTGGCACAGTTCAATTAGATGGGACACATCGAGCAATCTTCTCTACAAGTCGGACACATACGCGGGCTTTGTCCCAAAAGTGTCCATGTGTCAACCTCCTATGGCTTATTCTCAATCGGTTGACGATTACCCTTCTACGAGTCAGGTCCTTCGAGGACTGCCCATCGAGGTGATTTCAGTACCCAACGCACATCCCATTCACTCAGTTAGGGTAGTGGTATGTGTATACCATATATACCTCTACATTCCTCTCTAACTTAATTGAGGTTCAATGTGTCTATACTTCGCCATCGGCCCTCTCACACTACACATTCACGCCAATGAATAGTTTCACTCTCAACACACGTTAGGAACATAAAACTATCAGTTTATACACAACCCAGCTTCATCCAAGAATACAGGGAACAGGGGACCCGGATAACCGCTGTCAGGCTCAAGCACAACTCTCCCTATAAAGAGCTAATGAACTGCACCGTTCAATTAAGTGAGACACATACGTGGGCATTTGCCCATAAGTGTCCGTGTCTCAACCTCGTATGGCTTATTCTCAATCGGTTGACGATTACCCTTCTACGAGTCAGGTCCTTAGAGGACTACCCGTCGAGGTGATTTCAGCCCCCAACGCAATCAGTTCTTAAATCCAAACCCATTCACATTCTCACACATCCCATTCACTGAGGGTAGTGGTATGTGCATACCATATACAGGGTGAATTGCTACTCGTGCTACAAACTTCTCCAGTAGATTCTTCACCCTAAAATGAACAAAAAAGTTCATATTGTCCATGGTCCGATTCNGACAAACAGATGAGGTCATCGCCGGCCCTCCGCATGTATTCCTTCTCTTTCCTGTCTTTCTGCAGCCATTTGAGCATATCGATCTGGTTACTGACTCTCTGCTTTTACTTGTATTTTAAAATGCTAGCCTCTTGTTAGTACCTCAGGTTGTCAATTTAAGAATAGATACACAACATACAATACATAACATATATATCGCCACAAACATAGAAGTCTGGTCACATTCACTCCCCAAGACACATAAGTAAGTGTCCGTTTTATAAATTCATTATCGATTTTATCAAATTATATTGCTATTTTTTCATTGACCTAAAATCAAATATGTTACCTAGGCGTTAATGCAAAAATGTTTTTAAAAGACAACAATTATTCTTATGTCTGTAGATAATATAAAACTTACGTCCATGCCCATTTTGCAGTAAGAGACTGCCATATCCGGTATGTTGGAACAGTTCATCTGGTGTTCTGTCTTTGGAACGTCACTTCTAGGGAATGCTTCCCATATTTTCTTCTCATCAAACCCTTTCTAGATGATTAATTAAAAAAATGAGCATACAATTATTTATTAGAATTAAAAAGAAAGGGATTATCTGAGAAATTCGTAAGAAAAATTCTGGATTTTTGAGAACAGTCATTACTGATCAAGTGAACAGTTAGAAAACTAGGAAATTTACAGAATAAGTGGCTTAAAAAATGGACTATAATTTTATGAATAATGTAAATTCTCTGTCTCCTAGTGCTTTTTGTAAAAACAAGAAAAAATGCAATTATTATTAATCAATTAATGTTTTTTTATCGGTTTCGGTTCTACTCTGAAATATACTATTTTCGAACAAAAATATTTGAAATAAAAACGTCAATTTTAAGGATGGGATTCGAACCCACGGTCTTCGGAACAAGCGTCGTGGTACCGTTTCGAAGACCGTAGGTTCGAATCCCATCGTAACCTGTTTTAATCTCAAATCTTGTGTTCAAAAATTAATAATTATTATTAACACTTCTGCACATTAAAACTGTTTTTGAAGGATGGCTAGAAAAAATCTAGATGATTGTCTAATTTTGAATCAATGTTACAAATTTCATTATAACCTGTGTTCAACTATGTATTTGACGTATTTTAGTAAACAGATTGTTCGTATTAATGTGCTTTCTCATTTTGATTCGTGATTTTGATTCATCGTGCTTACTTACCATCGTGTCGACCGCCATCTGGTACATGGAGGTGCCTTTGCTGAGCATGAACTGAAATTTATGGCAGTAGTAAACAGGCGCTAATAGCACGGCTTTTTTTATTTTAGCGTTGTACTCAGGCTTGGACGACATCAGTTGCAAAAACATCGTCGTCCCCATTGAGTGTCCAATATAATATATTTGAGTCGCTTTGGTCTTTTCCATGACAAAGTCGATATGGGCTGGCAAATCCTCGAAAGCATAAGCATGTATGCTAAAAATTCAAAGAGGATTTAGTGACCCGGATGTGTCACATACAGTCTCTCTCTCTCTCTCGTTTGTCTGTCTGTCTCTCTCTCTCTCTCTCTCTCTCTCTCTCTCTCTCTCTCTCTCTCTCTCTCTCTCTCTCTCTCTCTCTCTCTATTAAATGTGCAATAATGAACGCAGTCGGCGAGTGTGCAAAGAAAAACGAAACTATGCGAAGCAAATGGTCAGGAATGATTATCAAGTCTCGGGTTCGGACCATCACTAACATGAAGTCGGATGTTCATGGTAGGTAAAAATTCTCTTATAAGGTTATTAGTCATGTGAAGAAGAATGAAAAGATACTCTCCCGAATATTGTGAGAACTGACAGGGTTGACAAAAGAAGAAGCCAACCCAGAGAGGAAAAATAGAAACAGATGGACCTGATGGAATTGAAGCTATGTTGCTGAAGTAGGGTGGTTTGCTCTTGAAGCTAAGTCACCTCTTCAATATGGGTTGGGAAGTTCGCTGAACCTTGGAGGAGAGCAATGGTAATTTCGTTTAAGGACATTTGTTCGTAATAGTCCGTGTGAACTAACAACGACTGGGATTCATCTACATCTAAATGGACCCAGTTTCAATATGCTTCCGTTTTCAGATGATCAGGTAATTATCAAAACGATTTGCGACAGATATGAGTTGAAAGTACCCAGTGCGATGACAAATCGTCATTGATAACATAATAATGGAGCATGTGTCCACTTTATCTTCCTTGGCACCATCCATCAAGCTCTTGAGGAAAAAGTACGAAAATAAATGTAGCTTACATTTTACAAATATGTATAGTTCATGAAATGTCCAAAATCCTCAAAAAACCCATTTTTAAGGGTTAGTTAATCGTAAAATCATCCCCCTCAACAACTCAGCTTCCATATCATTCTACGATCCAACAAGGCCGACACAATTTCCTCTATTCTAGAGAATACAGAATATTGCTTGGGTACGTTCCTAGATGTAGCAAAGGATTTTGGTAGGGTCTGGCACCTGGGCACGCTTTATAAACTTAAACCTACTGTTTATTATTTTCTTTTGAAACCCTACCTAACCGACTGCTGCTTCCGAGAGAGGGGCGGCAACAAGTTCTCGGAAATCAGAGAGATAAAAGCCGGCGTCCGACAAGGGAGCATTTTTGGTCCCATCTTTTCTAATTATTTATACAGTTGACCAACCTATATACCATCATCACCCCTTACAAATTTTAATATCTTATAATAAATATCTTGAAAGCACTCAACCACTTCAATCACGCTGGAATGCTAACTTCACTGAAATTCAAGCGTTTAACACTAAAATTTCACTGTAAGGATTTTAACAGATTCTGATTTTTGAAGCAAACACTCGAGCTCAACAATATACAATATACAACCTGGTCCTCCCACCTTTGTATTTTTTTAGATAAACGTTTAAATACGGATACATACACTATGTTTGTAATTTTCTAATTTCGCAAGTTGAAATTTACTTGTTATCTTCATATACAGATTTTCAATTTTAATATATCAGCTCAATATGAAAGAAAAATCTTACTTGAACTTCCAGAATTCTTCATCGGTGTCAGGATTGAACTTTTCATGTTTTCGCCCATAAACTGTTCCTCTCACGTTCGATAGCCAAACGTCTTTACCCTCATCGGCTAGGACGTAGGCTAGAAAAACGGGAGAAATTTAGTCTTCCAACAACTTCAAATGTACGTAGCAAGATAAAAAGAGACTGTTGTGGATAGTATAGAGATTTGAACTGGAACTTTATAGGTTATGATAAGATGATTTTCTATTATTACATGTCATTACTTTGAAAAGGCTATAACTGTTCTAACTAGGATAAACAGAGACCTTAAAATAAATACAAGAATTCTCAGAATAGCCGACAAATTTTTAAGCTACACACCTAAACTGTTATTTCTGATGGACCAGCAGTCGGACGATGCCATCACGCCGTGTTGCATCAGTACCACAGGACCGCCTGGGGTTTTTCCCTTAATGTGGTATAAATGTAGCGTGTAGCCGTTTGAGTTGATTTCAAATTTTTCTGCATCGTACCCATAATCCTTGGCCAGATCGGGCTGCAAAAATGAAACGTTCATTATTTAGAGACGGATTTTCAGCGTATTAAATAGGTCAATGTAACGTGACTTGGACGGGTTAAATCATGGAAAAAGAGATAGAGATTTATTGAAGGCTAATTTGACATCCTTTCTATAAAATCAACGTTATTGGACTTTCAACCAGAAGGGTTGAGACTCTCGATATGATGACCCTAAGGTCTGTCTATACCTCGGTTGTTCATCTACCCTGTTATACCGCTGGGTAGCTAGTATATCGCTTAAGCCAGATGTCAGGAGATAGTCGCTTCCCAACCAATAAGGGCTTTAGACAACTAGGTCATTTCAGCTCCCAATGCATGCGAACATGAGCTAGCCTAACACTAACTAACTTCACTTTGTACAATCACACATATAAATACATTCGTACATTGCACTTGTTCCGATTAGTCGGTGGAGTACTCGATTTGTTCACGATATTATATCGTCTAATACACAGAGTATCTCTTTCTGTTTGGTTTGCTATATTTTTTGATCGGTGATTTGACATCTTAACTGATAGTAGTAAAAATAATAGATAAACCATCACCATCAGATTTTTTACAAACTTAAATTAATTTAAATTTATAATTTAGTTCAAATTAGTAAAGGTTTCTACCAATCAGCAAGAAAGATGGTCATGGTTTAGAAGTTTCAAGTATATAAACAGTAATTAATTAAATGTAAAAAGGTATAGTAGTTCCCTTTATACAGGAGGGCTTAACGTCCAACTATCCGATCGATGTCGCGTATGAGGTATCGGCACCACTTTGCAGTACTTTTTTCAAATTAGCTCAAATTAATTATTCTTTTGATGTAAGGACTTGGTTGAGATGAAAAAGTTAGTGTCACGAGCGGGATTCGAACCCACGACCTTCGGTTCAATACGCCGTTGCTCTAGCCACTTGAACTATCGTGACTTCAATACACTCGGACACCAACTCCCCATCTCAACCTACAACCTTTCGAATTTTCCCTCTTTTTGTCATTTTTCAAGCCGAAGGTCGTGGGTTCGAATCCCTTCGTGACACTAACGTTTTCATCTCAACCAAGACTTTACATAAAAAGAAGAATTAATCGAAAGAAGTAATTTGGACAATTAGGCCACTGAACATAATGGATTTCATCTTAAATAAAATTTCAAGGACTAAGCCGGGATTCGAACCCAGTACGGATAGCACGGCAAATAACAATTCGGCCACCGCCGTCCACTTGTTTCGAAAATATGTGCTTTTATAAGCGGCGATGTAGATTCGAGTGATCATTACTATTCCTTTTCTTGGTTGAAAAAAAAACCCTCCATGTTTTTGGGTGATAAGATCGAGTTGGGTTGCGACTGATAATGAGTCTCAGGGGTAAGGAAGGTCGCAAAAGATTGAGAAAAGGACCTTCTGATTACCGTCTCTCCCTATGGAAACAAATGCCTTCAGGTGAATATGAAGCTCACCTTTTCAAGTTACCCATACCTCGGCTCACTCCTCTATCCTCACTTCTTCATCATCGACGTTATTTATTCAGGGAAGAGTCTATCGACCATTGCTGGCTTCAAGCTTCCCCCTCTTATGTAGACGGATGGTTACGATTCTGTTCAAAGAAGGGTTGTTTTGAACAGTACAAAGAAGACCAACGCGTCCTCGCTAATTTTTTCTTTTTTTGTTAATTTTTGTTTCCCGCGAAAACGTAATTAAGCTGTTAAAGTTTAGTTCATTTAATAGTTAACAAGTAATATTGTGTCACTTTGACCCAAAGAAGAGGGGATATGTAAGAACCCTTTTTATTATATAGTTTTTCTCAGCTTTTCAACGTTTATTTTTTTTACAACGCTAATTTAAAACGTGCATTAAAAATATACGACTTATTTAATTTAGGAGGGTTTAAAATAAGAACACCTTGTACAAACTTGCCTAGCAAGCTTACACAAACCGGACTAATTTGGCAGCTGAAGATTTGGCGAGGAAAAATAAGTCTTACTATTAGATGAAATAAGTGTCGGCATTAATTTGAAATAGAAACAGCATGTTTTCTAGTTGTGCTTTCGTTCATTAATGAGATATCTTCATGATCAATCGAGCGAATCAAAACAAAGGAGGGGGCCGGCTATCCGTTGACGGTTCATTGAACCTCTTGTAGCAAATCACAATTAACACTTATCGGAACAGGAAATTTAACACATCCAACGATTACCCACCGGGACGAATAATTACAGAATTGATAGTAATTGAACTATTACTATCCACTGAGAAACTTGAAATTTTCACCTCACAATTAAACTTTACTATTATTTCCGGGGGGGTAATACTTTACTTTGAGATTGTTACTAAGAGACAAGATGTTTTACAACACCAAAGAGATACCGATTTCCATATAAGTCAAATACTTAGGACCTAGACAACAGACTGACGTGGAATCCCCACACCATACTTAGAGAGAACAAGTTAACAGAAGACTTGGAAAGTAGGAAGACTCCTAGGACCGAAATCTATTCTGACCGCCACAACTAAACTAACCTTATACACGACTTTACTGCATCCTCTTTGGACATACGGAATACAACTTTGGGTTCTGCCGTGCCATCCAACATCAGCGCATCCAATCCTTCAAATCAAAAGACCTCAGACAAATCGTCAAAGCTACATCTATTAGGTTTCGTGGTCCGATTGACCAAATAAATTCTTGTCAATTAATGAATGTTTAATTAATGTTTTGGTTGAGATAAAAAAGTCAGTGTCGCGAGCGGGATTCGAACCCACGATCTTCGTATTTACGCCGCTGTTCTATCACTTGAGCTATCGTGACTTCGATCCACTCGGACACCAACTTTTGAATTTTCTCTCCTTTTTGCTATTTTTCAAATGACGTGTAATCTATTTGATTCTCGGCGATAAATGAAATGGCCACAGAGAGCTTTAGTGAAGTATACTTCATTTGCTTATTAAATTGCTCCTACATGCTACGTCACTAAACTCAACATTCCTTTTGTCAATGAACTGTTCCGTTCCCGAATCCAAAAGTGTTATACCAACCTTTCCATCCATTAGCTTCAAATTATCTCATGACCTAAGACCCGCCTTAGGGTTATTTATAGATTCATTGTTTTTTAAGGGTATTTAGACAGTTCCAGAAAAGATTTGATCTCGTAGGCATAGTAGCCTCGTAGCCTTTAGACCTGCCTAGCTATTTAAATGAAATATTATTGTTGCACCCTTGAGGCGGTAATTATTTTTTTTAGTTGCACATTTTTTTTATAGTTAGCAGTTCGGTTTGATGCACATAGGCCACTACCTTGTCACAAGGCTCATACCTTGTCCATTTCCTATCTTCGAGCCATCTGAATACCATAGAATAGTTCCAGGTTTGTCTGTTTGGTTTTATTTTTGGCTTTCTTTTCAATAATTATAATGAATGGTTTTTGAAAGACTATTTTTTTCTGTGATAATTCAGAGATAGTTCAACTATTTTAGCTATTTTAAATTATTTTTTCGTAGAAGATTTTGGTAGTATTTGTTACATCTTTCTTTCCACCGTCCAACGAATTTTTATTTTTTTTTTAAATGCCGACATTCATTGCACATACAGTGAGTTTGGCAGCCTGAGTTTACGGTCCATTGCAACTGTGGGTTTGTTTTAAGACCGCCAGTGAAGGTAAGATATGCTATTCTTTGGAATTTGTAGTAGTTCTTCTTTTTGCCACAATATTCTTGTATATGTGATCATGAAGATTGTTACCTTGTTATCCAGCTTTTCTTAACTTCAAAGAAGTTCTGTTCCAGGGAAATCAGCCATACTTTCAGTCGGACCAAGGCAAGGTTGGTCCCCATATAGTTCAGACCTCGACTCGTCAGGTAATGTCTTATTCAATTAATTAAGGTTTTTAAGTTGAGATAAAAAGTCAGTGTCACGTGCGGGATTCGAACCCACGACCTTCGGCTTGATACGCCGCTACTCTACCACTTGAGCACTCGTGACTTCAAGCGTATCAAGCCGAAGGTCGTGGGTTCCTTAATTAATTGAATGTTATTAATTGGTCAAGCGGACCACGAAAAATAGTGGTTATTTCTTATTTTGATCCATGATTTTGATCATTGTTTGGAAAGTTGGGCTGCCAACATAGGTCCAACGTTGGATTCGTGCAACTTACGAAAAGAAGAGAGTAATGAAATATGTATTTGTCCAGTCTATGATTGTAGAAGTGGACCGTATTCTTTAAAATCAAACATGATGCTTGTGTGTTTCTGTAAAACAATTCTGTTTCTCTATTTCACTACCAGTTTAGAATTTCCATTTGACAATCACATTATAGAAATAAGAAGATCGAATAATGAAGATGTCAATTAAATGTTCCTTTCATGCTGGTACAAATTGACCGATTCTAATTTATTAACAGCAGTTCGAACAATACATACAAGAAACCCTTTAAATTATATTTCACATTCCCAAAGGACATGTGCCGATGCCTCTGGTTCCTCCGAGAGTCGGCATTCTATCTCTGCTTGCCCATCTTCTTTAGGTAGTAGTTAAGAGGGCAGTGGCCCATATAGAGTTTCATAATTTTCCTCAAGAGAGAGGAGACCGTTTGGCTTCTTTTTTTGAGAAATTTAGCTTGCCTCATAATGGTGCCTTTGCCAGGGCTTGAGTTTTTCTTTCTCAAGCCTTGTTTTCAAGTTCAAACAGAAGGACACACTCGGGTGCAGTTGTGGTTCTGGCCCTATGGGTGAGAGGGCTTTTTTGGCTAGTTGGTCAGCCTATTAATTTCTTCTACAGCTTCATGTCCCGGAACACACGTTCAGGTTATCTTGTTGTGTTCTCTTAGAGCCATTAGGTAATTTAGGCCCTCCCAGGTAAGTTTTGAATTGAAAGGATACGCATTTTGCTGCCGATGTGCTTTTATAACTGCCAGACTGTCTGAGAGTATGTAAATCTGTGACTTTTCATAATTTTCTTTGTTCCTGTGTATAGAAATGTATTGCATCGACCTCAGATTGTAAAATTATTGGGGTTAGTCCAAGGGGTTGTACTAGGCATTCTTTTACCTCTACACCTACCCCTTGTTCCATCGTCAATATATCTGTTTACCATATTAGGGTCTTTTCCTGAAACTTGGGACTACTTTTCTTCCAGGGTCTCTATTATCTCGGTTTTGATCATGGAAGGTTCTGACAAAGTTGTGTTTATCTCTCAGTTTGTCATGTACCCTCTGATTTATTTTAATTATTACCAGAATTTTGTGGTAGGTCCTCCTTATATCTGTATTTATTTCCTTGCATCTCAGGGATCTGTTGGCTCTAAAGCCACCTTTTGTAAAAAAATATATAAGGGTGGAAGGTCAGGTTCAGTTTCCATTGCTATAGTCGGGCAGATATTCATTTGTTACTTGTTCAGTAGTTTTAGCCATACTAGAGTTCCATATGTGACCATTTTGATGTCTAGCCAATTCGCCATCCTGGGTTTTATTCCCCATTTCCTGCTGTATAATTTCTGGCCGATGAGTAGAGCCTTTGGTCATGGGTTATACCAAGGTATTTAGTTTCTTTGGAGAAAGTTAAGGCTTCATCTTTTATAGAGTGTACTTTTAGATTTAGCTTCCTTCTTTCTGTAAATGGTATGAAATATATTTTCTTTGGGTACATGTTTAAACCCTTTCTCACCTATCTTCCTATAATATTTAGGTCGTTTTGTATCTGGTTGTTCAGAGTGTCATTAAATCCTTTTTATGATTGTTACCAGGTCATCTGTGTAACCTATGGTATGGTCCTAAATCCTAATCCTAAGCTGTTTAAATAGATCATCTACTATTAGCAACCAAAGAAGTAGCGATAGTACCCCTCCTTGCGGGCATTAGGTTAGGTGGAACCGTTTCATACTATACACTTTCTTTTATTAATTGACAAAAAAAGTGTAACATTATAGTGCGTCTATAAAAAAATATTGTATATAGTTTATAAAATATAGACACACTCTAACGTTATCTGCTAAAAATTCATGTTACTTTTCACTTCAAAAATCACCATCAAAGTTCATGTATATAGCACATTAAACCATTTGCAATCTGGTGAAACTGATTATTTTCCAGATAGCTTTATATTTTGACGTTAGGAAAAACTGTTCATAAATACCAAAGGTTTTAATGGAGGCGGTGGAGGTGGTGGTGGTGGAGTAGGCTCTTCTTTTTCATCTTCACCCTCTTCCCCGTGCACAAGCAGTATCGCCACTAACAGTATAAGAATACCCTCTGACCACCACATAGTTAATAATTTTCTGCCTTTGTTATTTACAATGTTTTATAGTATCGCTTTCAATGCCAAACGTCCTATAATTACCTTGCCGAATAACATCCTGAGCATAACAATACCTGGAAACCATTGTTCAACAATATCAGATCAATTGTTAACGATTCCAATCTGGGTAGCGTATCAATGTGCAATTTTTTATTGTGCGGATAAATTAAATAAAAATTATTATTATGACCACATAAAAAAACACTCGTTGAATACTCATTACGTTGGTACTTTCACTAATTTATGATGTTGTTATTTGAGAAGAATATGTTCATAAATACTCTGCTGGGCCTCACTGAAAGCCTTATACTTTTTTTAAATTTTTATTTCTTTAGCTTAAAAATAAATCTTTTTATGTAAGGTTTTGGTTGGAATGAAAAAGCTAGTGCCACGAGTGGGATTCGAACCCACGACCTTCGGCTAAATACTTGAGCAGTGGCGTATTTAGCCGAAGGTCGTGGNGGATCATTCTGCATAACAGCAAAGCTCTACTCATTCATCAGAGATTATGCAACAGAATTTGTGGAATATATCCCGTTGGCGAATTGGTTATACAACAAAACGAACCGGACTTCTGGTCACATATGGAGATCTTTGGTGCCCAAAAACACAGAGTAAGGAGACACAGAACAAGCTACCAAGACTAGCGTGTACTAATATAACAGCAGCAATGCATACCTCACTACAGCAATGGAAACATCATTCGACCTTCCACCATTGCATATTTATGTAAAATAAGGAGGCTTTTGAGTGTGCTAACAGTCTCTTGAGACGACAGTAAACAAAGCCAGATTTAAATTGAAAACACCTCGAAATTCTGGAAAGAATTAATACAATGATACGGCTATAAGAGTATCTGACAAAACACCAAAAAACTTACCTTCGACATATCCTTCCAAGTGTTTAGCAGAAAGGTAGCTACAAGTTTCAGGAATGGGCATTAATACGGTACAAAGATGGATGGAAGATGGAACAGGGAGTAGGTGTAGGGGTAAAAGTGCCAAATTATACCCTAGCGATGCCCATTGGACTAGACTAAACCCAGCAATTTTCCTAGCTGAGGTCCATGCAATACAACTCGGTGCACAGGAGTTAATTAAGAAAAGTATGAAAGGTGCACCGATTACTCTGGTGAATTTTCGGTATCACAATAATGAACGTATTATTTGATCCTTAGCGATGATTTTGGGCTGCCTATTCTCGCTGGGTTGAACTGTTAAACGAGTTTGGCCATTGGATGGTTTGTGTTGGTGCCTCACCCTGCTTATAACCCTGACCAACCGCTAAGTATTACGAAAATCCCAAAAGTGTCTGACGATCAAAATAGCCATGGTAGACCGACTACCAACCAGGCAAGTTAAGTGTCGGTCAAAATTAAGACTAAAGTTCAATACCCAAAAACCTCGTGCTAACGATCAATGGATCAATCAATCAAGGCATCGTTCAATTTCCCACCCAAAATAAAAAGCGAAGAGGGAATTTCAACGCTACCAGTTCTTCTCCTGAACATAATACATGATGATTTAGGATGATTTAAGTCAAGCTTGTTAACAGCAAACCACTGGCTTGCCCTATTAAATATTTCAGCACTTCGACATACACAAGTGTACAGAGAATGAGTACGAAGTTGGAGATATAATCGCAGTTATGTGGCAGTGGAGGACTAAGATAGGAAGGCAGGTCGCTAACGTATAGATGAAACATTAATGGGCCTAGTATACTCCCTTGAGGCACTCCATATTACAATTTATTAAAGGAACCGAACGAGCCATTGCAAACTTTAATATTGACTGTAGATTGCCGTCCCTGGAGATATGAGCTAACCTGTTTAAATGCTTGTCGTGATTCACTCTCGAAGCTCTCTTTTGAAGTAGGGAAACTTGCTGAAGCAGGCCCACATCACTGCCCGAGAAGCCAATGCCATGTTTAATATGTGACATAAAACGAGCATAATAGGCTGTTAGCAATTGAGACTGGTTTACAACTGGTTTCAGTCTCTTGAGTCCAAAACCGCAGAATTCAGTTCAAGCACTAGGAGAGACATGCGACAATCAAAACGAAGACTATGGTAAAGTTCAATATCCACAAATTTAGTTCTATCCAAACTGTCCCTTTGCGCACTTGAAAAATTAAGGGAAGTAGGGATTTCAAAGCTATGCGTTCTTAACTTGCTGAATATTAGACATAGATTCAAGTCAAGCTTGCTAAAAGGACCACTGACTTGCTCTATCAAAGTTGCAGCAGTTCGACATAAAGTAATGAGCTCGAACCAAGATGTTGGTGTCATCAACGTAATTAGTTATGAAGCAAACTGGAGCAGTAAGGTAGGCAGGCAGGTCACTAACCTAGTACGCTCACTTGAGGTACTCTCATATCATTCGTTATCGAAGATTGATTTGGAGATATAAACTAAACAATTTTGACAATGAAATCCTACACCATATACCTGCAACTTACCGATGAGTATAACACGACGAACCCTCATCAGGATAGCGCAAATAGGTTAATAGAATAAACAAAAAATTATTTAAGTTTTTAGTTTTTAAATCAATAAATCTTTGTTTTATGTTATATAATTCTTTACATGACTCTGTTTTTATGGGTCATGCTCTTCGATGAACCACATTAAAGTTTAAAATAATCCCTGACTGTAAGTATATTCTTAGCTCAACCGATTCACTCCAACGACAATGGCATGAAAAATGACTATTAAGTTTTACAATGCCAATTTATTTTGAAACGATGCTTTCCTTTCCATCCTATTTATTATGTCATAACATGATGTAGCATTACCATTAATTCATCTCGGGCAGTCTCGGAAAAGTTGAAGCAAACCCATTCAAATGGAGATTTTATAACGAATTACGCAATTTCATGGCTGATCCTCCGGAGTCTGGTCTAAAGAAGCGTTGATTGATTGTTCAAGAAAGCGTGACATGTGGTGGAACTAAGGAAATCCAGGTCTATAAGTATTGGATACGTATCGAAGCGTAATTAGTTGCTATGGGGCCGTTACTGAGTGAATTTCTGTGCCTTGTTGGAATAAGTTTACTTTTGTCGGTTGCAGGTGAACAAGTAGCAAAACCAGTGGTGTACTCTTACTCCAGTTCGAACCTACCACATCCTGCACTTATTACTCACCATTACAACCCTCCTACCGAAATCACCACGGTACCTCTACCCGAGGCAGAAGAAGAAGTGGACGAAGAAGAAGAAGTAATAGTTGTTAACGACGATGAAGATCTTCCTCAGCCTCAACCGACGGACACTGTCGTGGAGTATATCGAAGATACGGTAGATACACAGGAGGAGACTCAAGTGAACGAAGCTGAGCCAAATTACACCTATTTGGACGACGATAACATAAATCTCCATCCTTCTCTACCCAATTATTCCCCAGATTATCCTCAGAGTGAAAAAGTCTTGCAACACCCGAGGTATTTCGCCTACTCCAGTGACATAGACCAGCCTTCGATAGTAGATCACGCAAAAGCAAAAGGTGAGAAATACGCTAAAGGAGGCGGTCAAGAACATCATTCTGCTCACAAATCGTCAGGTGGTGGAAAAAGCGAAAAGGGGTATAAAGGATTTCATAAGTTCTCAAAAGGTCAGAAAGGTCATCACAATAAAGAAGGGCATAAAGGTAAATATAGCGATTCTAAAGGGAAAAAGGGGAAGAAAAGCGAACAAGGTGGCCATTACGGGGAACATCACCACGTCGAAAAAGGTAAAAAAGCTGCCAAATACGGTGAGGCAGGTGAACACAAAAAAGGCCACAGCACAAAAGGTGAACACAACATACACAAAAAGGACGAATATTTAAAAAAACACGAGTTCTACGACGAACACCACGAAGGGGGAGAACACGAAAACCACGGCGGCTACCACGGAGAACATAGCAAAAAGAAAGGAGGGAAAAAGAAGAAAGGTCATCACAAATCTGGCTATTACCACGATAAGAAAGGAAAGAAAGGTCATCACGAAAAAGGAGGCAAATCTGCCTATCACAAAGGGCACAAAGACGCAAAAGGTCACGAGGGACACTATAAAAACCATAAGAAATACGGAAAGAAAGGAGGTCATAAAGAAGGCAAAAAATGGGGATATAGCAAAGGACACCATTGATGAAGGTAAAACAAAAAAATTAGCTTGTTTGACTCCAGTCTATAATCAATCAAATTTTTAAATTTTTCGATATACAAATGGTATTTTTGGTTTTTTGTCGTCTCACAAATGTAAAAATTCCATAAGCTGTTTTATTTTTTGAAAAAAAGCTAATTTAATTTTTGAAGTCTAACAATTGTTGTGTAACAGTTGTGATCAAATGATACGATACATATAGGAGATGTAGAGGTCATCACGATTCATTCAATTGGACTTTTTAAAATTCCATGAAGACTATGACTTTGCTTTTGCATAAATTTAACAATTTAAATTAGAGTAAATTAAAATAACACACAAAGGAGAAAACAATTGCATTTACTCCTGTTGGTATTAACATTTCAATTTGACATTTTACAAATTTAATTTTTTAAAGATAAAAAATTATTATTTAACGTTAAATTTCTAATCTGACATCAGATACTAAACATGTATTAGATATAGTTTGAAAATAGCATTGGAACACTGTGTAGAGATAAATTGTTGTGAGACAAGTAATTGGCCACAGACAATTTGTTTTGTTTTCACAGCTTCGATAAATATTTTTGCAAAATTAATATTTTATCGTAAAATTAAATTAGAAAATACCAAAAAATTCCATGTTTATATTCAATTTATCAATAAAAGTATTTCAAGTAATTTCTCTATTGAAAATGTGCAATTTTCTCTCAGATGCACTTTTGGGTTAAGGACATACAGGAGTTTTGGTCGATATGGAAATATACTAAAATTAAAAAAAAAATTAACTTATTAAAAAAATGAATGTAAAATTCAAATTAAACATGAAAAACAGTTATTCTTTTTGGTTAATTATACCTAATTCTTGTCAAATGAGAATGCTTGAATATAATTTGTATAATCATTTTTTTTTTAGTCGAGTACATTGTTTTCCTATTATTTATTACATGGAAATCAATGCATGAAAATAGTTTAAATATGAGTATTAAAAAAATGTCAACCATTATCTTACTTGACAATACATACGTTTCATTATTACTAAAGGTCCTAGGTTAAAATTCAAATTAAGCCAAAAATTCTGTTTAGACAATTATCTTTAGTATTTGTCAAAATTAGAATGTACAAGAATTTATCAATGAATAATTTTCAATTGTTTTTCTTACAAAATCTGACCAAGGACAAGGATGATGATAGGGGAAAGAAAATATGAAAAACAGTATTGATCCAACTGTTGACCACAGTTCATCATTTAAATGACTTTACAGAATTTTGTTTTATACATGAGATTTTTGTTGTTATTTAGTAAATTGTTAATTTTATAGGGGAAACAAACGTTTCCCCTGATTGCCATTTATGTACTTTTGTTGAAAATATATTTTAGTTATAATTGAGTACTCCTGATTGTTAAATAAATAAAGTTATCTTGTTAAACAAATTTTGAGTGATTTTGTAATCTATAATGACCTGATGAAACATAACTACATTGCTACTATGTATACGTATGCAAGTACAGAAGTATTCTGAATTGCATATTTATGTCAAAATAAGAAAAAAGTAAGCAATTTTAAGTTTTTGTTTTATTTATTGCAAAATTGTTACACGAGTTGTTGTTATTAATTTTTTTAAGCACTTTTACATTAAATTATTTTATTTGTACACTATATATACATTAGTACATATTACAAATTTGATTATCTGTTTTTTCAAACGGTCATAGCACTAGCTCTAAGACCAATGCTGCACCCGGAGGGCACATACCATGAGAAACCAGCCGATGCTGGCACTCAGTGTGATGGATGAAGGGGAGAGGTGGTCTTCGTAGTTGTATCTGTTTTACAGTTAATGAGATGAATTTAATTTTAATTTTTTCTTGTTTTATTAATACAGAACAGACTTTACTTCAGTAATGCTATAAAAGAATAGTTTCTGTTTTAATGAACCTGATAAACAAAATGCCATGAATACGACAGTCAATTTAAAACGATGATGAAAAATTGTATCTATCGAATTATGGAGAAATAATTGGAAAAATCAATTGATACGGTTTGGGCAAACGAGTTACAATGCCTGGTCAATAGATGGGGCGCGATTCCAGAATTGNATATTATATACTGACTAGAAAAATCTGGTTTGTGCCACCTGAAATAACGTGGCTGGAAATCCGTCTGGCTCTTGAGTTTCGTGTCGGTTCTTTAATGTTCAATTCAATCACTTTGCTTTATGTTATCAGCTGACAACTTCCTGGTTGGTGATTGTGATTTAAATATGTCCTTGTTTTCTAATGCACACATCTCGGTGATATGCATTTCATTTACGGTTATTGCAACGGTAACTGCATAACTGCTGCAAGGGGGAGAATACCAAGCTCGTTTTCCACATTGAGAGCAGATCGCACCTTCCAACGACTTCATCAGAGGCTGAGGGAAATTCGTTCTTTCACTCGAAGAAAGAGGGGAGACAATCTGTGAATTGATGTAGATGAGGAAAATTTGCATTCCGTTAATCGTGATCGCGAAACCGGTACACATGCGTTATGTGTTGGGTACAGACCTTGGTATTTCACAATGGAGAGGTTGGGATACCTTCCGTCGGGAAGGAATGTACCGTTACCATTTTACGAGGATGATTAGTTGGGGAAAAAATCAACTCACTGCTGGTGGTCATTTCGTTCCAAACTTTGCACCCTCTTAAAAGAGACCCCGTCTCAATGTGGAAAATGAGCTTGGTATTGTCTCCTTGCAGCAGTAGCATTACCGTTGCAGTAACCGTAAATGCTATGCATATCAGCAAGATGTGCATTAGGAAACAAGGACATAAATTAAACCACCAACTTGAGGAAGTTGTCAGCTGATAACATAAAGCAAACTGATTGAATTAACCATTAAATAATTGACATGAAACTCAAGAGCCAGACGGATTTCATGGAAAAATTGAACGAGCCCCCCTTCAATTTCACCAGTTTTTTTAAAAAACAAAATGCAAAATTTTTGGGCCTTTCAGACGCGCAATCCAAAAAGGTCGGTATACCGCTGGAAGGTAATCGAATGGAGAACTTTTGAGGGAATTTTCAAAGCTCCAGGAGTATGTAATTATTAAGAGTAACCAATCCAACATTAAAAAAAATCCAAATTTCAACATTTTTGTTTTTTTATGAATTATTCGTGCTGAATTTTTCATTAATTGTGCAATATAAATTGGTTTCCTTACAGAAAATTTAACGTTCTTTCAGGTGGCAGAACCAGATTTTTCTATAGTCAGTAATTCTGAGTTTATAAGCAATTTAGTGGAACTAAGTCGAAAAATGAAAAAACACTCAAAACCTGAAATTAGTTCTCAATTTAATTAAATTACTTGAAATTTTTGACACTTATCGCCAGTCACCCTGTACTACGTACTACAACTTGTGACGTACAGTTAAAACATTCAATTGTCCAGTGATTATCAAAATTTTGTTTAATTAAAAAAATTTATTACTCAATTTGAATTATTTTAACCAACCTAAAAAATCATGTTTTAAAGAAAAATGTTTATCACAAAACATGTAATGAAAGTTGAAGCTGCATTCGCACTTCCTCGGGTAGACGACAACAGAATCGGGATAGCAAGCATCCGTGGCATTCCGTATTCCTCAAACTTAGGTTTGTCTTTGGGGAAGTCGACTCCCCCCCCCCCAAATAACACTGGCATAAGGCTAAACCCAAAACACCTCTTCATTCTCCAGAAGTTCTAGCCGAAAAACCCGAAAACGTCATTTCCTGCTACACTGTAGGCATGTGCCCTTCAACTATGATTTTGTACACAAATGGATCTAAATCATCAAACGGCGAAGACCACAAGAACATAAAACTGCCAAACATTACTTCAATTTTTACAGCCGAGAGCGTGGCTATTGAAGAAGCTATCAAATATGCAGTAAGATAAAACCTCAACGAAACGGTTATTCTATCAGATATCCTCAGTGTTCTCGATTCCATAAAATCCAACAGGAGATCCCGCGCCCCAATTGTGTTAGGTATCAAGCCAAAAATTATTGAACTCGCTGAAAAAGGGAAGAAAATATATATGATGTGGGCAAAAGCGCACCATACAACCAAATTTAATAACAGGGTAGACACGCTTGCAAAGACGCCCACCTCAAGTATTAGGCTTACCGTAGCTGGAGTAAAATTTTTTAATAAAGAACCAAACTAAAGGCCGCTATACAGCCTACTATTCTTCGTATCTTGTGGTTCCGGACAGTCAATCGCCCTAGAAGTTTGGGAAAAATTACAGGCTTCGTACCTTTCATTTCGCCTTCTCCACACTTCTTTCACGCCCATCTGGAGATCGTAGAGCAAATCTACACTCATCTGTAAAAAGTACAGCAGACCAATCTTCCAAAGATCAAAGGCCGTGCGAGCCGTGCAACTCTGGATGTTCTGGTCAATTCGGGTTCTCTTACGGGGCGAAAAGCCATCAGTCCACACTGATTTAATCTTCTTCGAGCAGTATGTTCGGAAATTTGGACACCTCGAACTTCCTGAATCTGTTAAATCGCTTGAACAACAGTAAAGTGCCGGTTTCGCAAAATTCACACTGTCAAAAAACGACCATCCTATGGTTCTGTTACCCTAAGTCGTCCACAACCGGGCTTTCTATGGTAGGCCAACATTTTCCTTAAAACATGATTTTTTTTAGGTTGGTTAAAATAACATCCAACTTAGTAAATACATTTTTTAATTAAACAAAATACCTAACGAATGGCGGTATTATTTGAGAATGTAAATTTTACAACCCCGGCCTCACAGGATACGAAGGATCGGACCATCAAAGCGTATAGCGTTGAGGGCGCTCAAACTACGCTGGCGGAGTCCTTCGAACGCGTGAGAAGTGGCGGATGGGAACGGATAGTGGTCGGCGGTGCCTACATGGGCGTCCTTTACCGAAGGCATTCTCCTCTAGGAGGTGGTTAGCAATTCCACTTTAAACAAAACCGCTGCCGGAGCGTGTCATCCGAAAAGGCAATG